TCTTTCCTCTCATCCAAAATTAAGACAGACCACAAAATACGAAGAATGGGTTCACAACGTTTGGTCTCAGGGCGCTAGGTCGACTCACGGCGGATGTCCACCACAAGCTTTGTAGCAAACAAACATGCACCAAGCGTGCAAGGCTGCAATCAGACTGCCGAAAAAAGCAGCTGACCATTGATACGGAAGCTTGATTGCTTTCGATCAAGAACATCATACAGGCCAAACGCTTTCTCCCCAGCAATTCTCAACCCTCACAGGTTTTCCAAACTTTTTGCTCCTTCAAGGGATCGAAAAAAGTGATTTTTCTGGACACCAGTTTGGGGTCCAAAAACCCCAGCAAAAACCGGCCCCGCCACAGAGGGCCTCCCCAGTAAGCTAAAACGGATGCCCTGCGGAACACATTGGGCTGTGAGCCACTTCTTCAAAATGGAAAAACAATGAAAAACACATGTGGACCGCCTGAATGCGTCGATTCACCGTGTCGATCTCCCATGCTCGATATCTTATGATCACGCCTAGATAGGCCGTTTTCGAAACCATGGGCAAGCGTGTCGAAGAGTCTGGCATGGTCAGGAAAGGTTCTGCTTTTGCGCGGATGACCCACCTTTTGGTGAATCTGCTGGCCCCTTTACCAATAGCCCTGAACAAGACAACACTCTTGTCCAAATTGATGGAGAAACCATACATTCCAAAGTCACGGAGGATGTGATCAAGGTCTGACAGGGCTGTCAGTCCATCCGAAAGCCTTTGCGTGCTCCATCTCAAGTGCATGTCATCAGCATAAATGATGATGTGATCATGAATCGAGGTGCACGAGTATCGAGCCGCCAAGTCTGACAGCACCAAATGCATGCAGAGCGTCCAGAGTATTGGACCATCTTTTGATCCCTGACGAATCTCTCGTGTGGCCAAAATCTCACCAACTAACTTCTTGTGGGGGATATAGTATTTGTGAGGTGATAACAGGGTATGGATCATGGTCTGGAGGTCCTGGGCGAGTTGCAAACACCTGATGGCGAGACTCACTGTATTCCGGCTGACGGAATCGAAGGCTTTGTTCATGTCGAGGGAAACCTGGAGGCCTCCGTACATGCCATTAGCTGAATTATCCTTATTGTGCAGTTGACAGCTGTCACGGACCTATCTGCAATGGTGCGAAACACGAAGCAAACAATCAGCAATACTCCTATTAGGAAGACATGCATATAACGGGAATCGACGAAGTTTATCGATCGTGTATTGCAACAATTGGGTGGTGACAAAATTCGAGGCAACCTTGCAGACAGGGTATTGAAGGCAGATTGGTCGAAGAGCCTGTGGCTTCGTGCTTGGCTTTCCCGGTTTGGGAATGAGATGCAGCCATCCAGCCGTCCATGCATCCGGAGCCTGGGGGGGGTTGACACTCCAATGCGCCAAGGCCTGATATATCGAACTAGCCATTTCAGGGGCCAATGCTTTCCACACTACGGCTGGGAGACTCGGTGGCGCCACAGCTTTGATGGCCGGCATGCGACGCAAGGCCTCATACACAGCCTCTTCATCAAAAGGCAGGACCTGAAGAAGTGTCAGATCCGGATGGTGAAAATCAGGATCGTTAAATTGAATCTCAAAGTATTGAACAAGTTCATCAAATTCCTGTTGAGGGCTAAGAGGTTGTCCGCGACTATCAAATATGTGAATGCGCTGAAGCCGTTGCTTGGGGCAGAGCGTGCGGATTCTGCGAAAGAAACTGGTGTCGCATGGCCAAATCAGCACCCTCCCGGAGAAAGGCTTCAAGTCGGGTCCGTTTATTGGTCCTGCTATACTACTTGATTTGTTTGTGCAAAGTACGGTATCTGGTCAAATTGAACCAACCTTGAAAGATCGATTTCACACTACGATCATGCAATGCAAGGGCAGCCTTACGCGCCAGCCACATCTGGGCAGTGAGAGATCGAAAGGCAGGATCTAGCGGAGCCTGCCGTCGGACCGACGGAAAGCAATTCTTACATATCTGAACAAGACTTCTTTCCAGGAACAGATTACGATCTATCGGTGACATCGAAGGCTCCTGTTGTGTAATGACCTGACGTGCCTGAGCCATGAATTGGGCCCACTGCTGGGTGTTCTGGGTCCAGGCCTGACGAAGGCAAAATCGGTTGATATCCTCATGGTTCTTGGGGTTGGGAGTTGGAAACCATTTTGACAAGTGCAAGCTCAGAGCATAATATCTCGGGCCTTGATTGCCAAACAAAAAATCAAAATCTGGATGATGTTTCGGTTGCAAAATACGCCAGGAGATTTGCTCCTTTCTCATGAACACAAAATCAATCCGGATATTATGATTACCATGCACAAAGGTGGGATGAAAAATTCTCGTATGAACAGCTGCCAAGTGGTGGTCCTGAACAAGGGATCGGAACAGGGCTTTATCGGTCTAAACGGCCTTGGCATATTTAATATCCCACCTGAGTTCCATGCATGTTAATACACGGTATATATGTCGTGGGGACGATACAATTGCAATCTAACTTGCAGGATCCTGCCGGGTATGTGATGTGCAACCGAAATGGCCTCCCTAAAGATCAATGTAATACGGTCCATTACAAGGACAGAAGCAAATCTATCTAGTCCATGCATCACACGCCATTCAGGGGTAATCCATTCACTAATCATGCTCCATCCGATCTCCTGTGCAATAATAATATCGAATAGGGATCGATCAATATCAATCGAGCCATTTAATATGGTGTAGGAATCTAAATGCATTCCGGGCCAATCTACGGCGCTATATCCACAATTGCCGAATACGAAA